TAAGGCTACTTGACCTCCCTTACCTTTAAACTCTTAACTCCCCGTTGTCCATCTGGTTGTAGAGAAGTTCCTCAACTCCCCCTCCCTGCATGCACTCAAAATGCTCTTGAGAAGGAATGATGACCAGATTACAGTCATACAGCAGCTCAATCGTTGCACACTGGCATTCAGCAAACCACTTCCAAGGCTACCGTCTTCACCCAAATAAGACGCCCGGTCATTCTACCAGAGCTTGGGGCAACTTTCAGTCCAGATGCAGCAATAATGACCAGGCGTCCTATTCAGGTCAAGACTGTAGTGTGCATGCCGTTGACTGGCTCTGTACGTGCCCAGCCAGTAATGACGAGGGTGGATTCAAAAAGGGGGAGAGATAATCATTCAATCTCATTTTGTCATGAAATAAGTGGACTGTCATCTTGTATGTACTTCATCTAATTGGAAGGGGAGGGGCTTAACCCTCTGAGCACTTCTTTGGAGATGCAATTAAACCACCAGTGCCACCACTCCCCCCAATGTTAAAAAATCGGGGCAGCTGGCAGCACAGGCTCGTGAGGGCTACTGGTAGGACAGTGTGGAGAACCGGCTCAGTGGCAGAAAAGGAAAGTGCGCCGAATTGCTGCTGCAATTTATTTTGCGGTCGGAACAATTTTTATTTTTTTCACTTTTAAAATATTGTTACTGGGAAGATCACAACCAAGTGTATGCGCCCTCTAATTTTCAGATTTTTTTTATGCATGCTTCTGGGCGTGAAAAATCGCTGAAGTTGGAGTACTTTTCCCTTTTTTTTTCTTTTTTTTTCTTTTTTCTTTTTAAAGCTGGGAAATGCACCCGGTATCCGTTAACAAAATCTTATTGCATTCCCCTACTGAAAAGGCATCATCGACCCCCAACTCAACAGGGGAAACACAAGCCCCAACACATTCAAGAAAACTAAAAACAATTCCAAAGCCCACCACCACCCATCCCGGTTCTACCAGCGAAAGAGAAAATCAGTCTGGAAGCCAACTGTATATAGCTCTATCCTTGAGAACACCACAGCTCCTGTTCTAGTACCCATCCCGGTTCCACCAACAAAAGGAAAAGGAAGTTCAACAGCCAACTGCACTAACTGCCATAAAAAGCCAATGGCTCAACCTATGCAAGACCACAACACAGAACAAGGAGGAAAGCAGCTGGAGATAGCCTGTTTGATCTTAAACTTGATTTCCACTCTAATCATTGGTGGAGTCAATCTTTCACCACGTCGGACGGCCGAATTCCGGAGGGACCACAGCGTCCACAATATGAGCCCTCGAAGACTCTCCTCGGCATGCATTAGCGCAGTATTGGTCTGTTGCCTACGGACCGGCACCCCCAGCAGCACGAAGTCATCAGTTCAGCGGGAAGCAGGCTGAGGGACCGGAACCGAACCTGAGCGCCACCAGTCCCAAAACAAGCGGGACATCTCGCAGTGTAAACACAGATGCTGGAGGTTGGAGTACTTTTCCGTTGGCCCATAGATGGCAGAGTGGCAAAAATGGAAATGTGCCGAATCCGTGTGGTGATTATTTCACTGTCTAAACACTTCTTGTTTCATTTTTCTAATACTTTTCCTGGAAAGATCACGACCTAATCTACCGGATCTCAAATTTTTAGCTTTTTCTGTGCATTATTCTGAGGATCTCAAACTTGGCGAAGTTGGTGCTTTGAAACTGCGTGACTGGACCCGCTGCTGCCTATTGGTCGGCGCACCCCCGCCAAATGCGTCCCTAAGGCCCCTAAATCAATGGAAAGCTTATTTTCGGCCAGCAGGGGGAGTGGTTGAATGGGAAGCTTCCTTTTGCCGAAGCGGATTCCTCCCTGCGAGCCAAAAAAAGACAAACCGCTGTGCGCCCTTTTTTGGACGGCGCTCCCAGCGTTTTGCTCCAGTAGGCCAACCCAGGCGACCCCCAAATCTTGTGGCGCATGCACGTCCGCGACGTAGAAATGGCTAGGAAATGTACTGGTGGTTTGTTACTCGTTCCACAAGGGCTGGTTCTATCCCCTCCTGCAAACCCAGCGATGTGCAGACTGTTCTGTCCTTAGGACCGTCAGATCCCTCTCTGAGTTCCACTCCCATGTCCCATTCCCATCCTCTTGCCTTCTTCCCCTATCTGGCCTAATAAGCCCTTTGGAGACCTTGGAGTACCCTCCTGGCCAAAATAACAGGTTCTGAAAGTAGCATGGCTATGCTGACTTGAGGCTCGACCCACATGGGCCACGTGGATGTGAACTTACACCACTGACTTGACGCTAGACCCATGTGGCCCACGTGAATGTGAACTTAGACCCACAACCCATGTGGATCACCACTCTGACGAACCATCCCGACTGTCTAGACACTGGAATCCAGACTGTTCAATCTTCAAACATATCTGGACCGTCCAGCTCAGATCTGAGTGTGCAGATGTGATCTGCAGCAAACGGTGCACCAATCATTTGTTTCCTTTCTAACAAAAAATAGGGTGTATGCCACTGTGTATGGATTATTATTTTTCTGTTGTGCTTTCATGTTGAAAGTTACTCCAAATCCGGTAAGAAATTCTGAGCAGATCCTCGGCCCAGAGTTGTTTTTGAGATCGTAGTTATTTTTAACTTATTTACTATAAACTTAGTATAAAGTGTATACACTCATATACAGTAGTATACACAGGGTTGTTTTGGCGCCTACCGCCTACCCCTACCGTAGGCGGTAGGCGCGCCTACCAGTCCGACTGACCCGTAGGCGGACCCGTCGGCGGTCGGCAGACTGCCTAAATTTTTTTATTTTATTTTTCAGATGACATGGTCGTGTGCGGCTTGAGGAGGGCAGCCCGAATCTGCAATAATTTTTTTGGGGGGTGGTGGGTTTATAGGGGGAGGTACAGGGGGGTTATAGGGCTGTCTCTTATACACATCTAGATGTGTATAAGAG